TATATATATATATATATATATATGCAGCAGAACACTGATACCCAGCAGCTTAAATAAAACTTCTAAAGAAAAATTTTAACAAACAATGAAAGTGCAAATGAGACATGAGATTGGTTTTGCCACATTGTTTTGCTAAAAAGGTTTTGGGATATTCTATAAATAATCTCAAGCTTATCCTATTTTACATGTCAGTGACTTTATATGAAAGAATTAGTACTATGAGAAAACATAATTTATATGACTGCTGGTCAATGATGAAGGCCCCATTCAATTTGTCTCTCTTTTGTCTCTTCATTTCAGTATTAAGTGATTTTCCTTACTGTAATTGTAGCACCTTGTAAAATTAGGAAAAATCATGTCTTAGGTTTGTTTTCTGATCTCCTAACTTTGACATTTTTGAAAGTTTCTTGAGGTTCTGTTTCTTTCATAGTGAAATTTCCCATTTCCTAAAATACTATCAGGACTTTGATAAGCATTGCTAGCATCTCTGCAGAGCTGTAAACGGTGTCTGTGTTATCTTTCCATTGACATTTCTTTTTGTCTTAACACTGATACTCAATGATTTTCATTGCTATAATTTTAATAGAATTTGAAATCTTGATTTCATCTTCTGAAGCATTTCAAATTTCAAATGCTTCAAAAAGTCAAAAAGACTTCAAATCTGTGCTTTCTTAAATTTCATACCATGATACCAGTCCTTTGCATATTTTGCTGAAATATCCCATTCCTGTTTAAAGGTATCCATTTAAGAGAAACCTCCTTGGCAATTGTGTACCCATGCTAGCGGTGTGTCAGTGTTTATGTGTTATATAGTTATTCTTCTGGTTTCCATCTGCTGTTTCTGTCTACATGCATGTTGGTCAGTGACTAATTCATTTTTGCAAGAACATAGTATTATGATACCACACATGTAATAGCTAAATCTTCGTGAATAGCTTGATTAATTGAGAGTTGAAGAAGCTGCACACTGACTTGCATGGTGGCTGCAGTAAGTTGGCTTCTCACTGACACTGCATCTCTGAGTTCTTTCTGTTGCATTGTCTTCAGGATTTGTTTTGTGGAAACCTGAGTATGCTCACTGACTATGTCGCACTGAACTAATGTGCACTCTTGGTGTACATTAGGTGAGTGTTTTTTTCATGACTAGGCGTGTGAAGCATTTTTAATGTGTACTAATTGGCAATTGTAACTGCCTTTTAGCATGATCTTTTAAAATTATTTGCTTCTTAATTGAAGGTATTTTTATTTGCTTGTGTTTTTTTGTTATATATTTTGGGTATTAACCTGTCATATGGTAAATAGCTAGCTAATACATTTAACTGCTCTATAGGCTCTTTTTTATACTTTTAATTTTTAGTATTTCCATGCATCTTTTTTGGCTTCAGTTCATACAAGAAGGTCCGTGTATAGAGTTCCTGGTTTTTGTGTGGATAGGTACTTTTCCAATATGTTTGGTTAATGAGGCTGCCTGTTATGTAATCCACCTATGTCATTTGGTTGACGATCACATGGTCATTGCTATTGTTCTCTTTCTGTCGAATAGGCCTGTATATCTACTCTTCTGCCACTCCCTTATCCTGGTGGTTATTTGGCTCTGCAGTATCATCTGGAATCACAGTTGGGATCACTCAGGATCTGTTTTATGTAGCCGGAGATGCTCTCCACACTCAGATTCTTTGTGCTTCAATGTAAAATTAGTTCTTCTGCTTTCCCAGTCTTTGGCCCCTCTTTGTCTTGTTCCCTGGGACTTGAATCAGGTTATTTGAATTTTCTCTTCATGGCTGTGTCATGAGCAGTCACTCATTCTCTATATGTGACCAGTAATAAGTCCCTGAAATGACTGTTGACTGTTACATGCAAAGATTCTCTGACCCAGACTGAAAGCAGGCTAAGCTGTGGTCAGAACCAGGCAAAGGCAGTTTGAGGACTTCTACATATAGCAAAATGTCATGAGTCACTTGCCTCCTGTGGCCTGTCACCTTCTCAGCTGCTTCTCTTGGCCAGGTTTCCACCGAATTGCACATATTTCCTTATCAGGAACTGGCCCAAAATTCAACTAGAAAGTCTTTCCTTAGGCAGAAAACTGTCTTCACACCATGACACTGCTTTAGGGAACTAAAGGAAGTAGTCACCAGTCTCTGATCCAGTAGACAGCTTTACTGTGCAGTGTTGACATACACAGGATCAGCTGATGTCCATCTAAAGTCTGAGCCCTGAGTTGAGTTCAACAGTTTTATATCCTGTCCCCCTGCATGCCTCCAAACCTTCCCCACATCCCGGCAGAACAAAGTGACATAGAGCCAGACTGGCTTCTTAGCTTTTTAAATAGAATTTGCTGAAGATTCTCATATGTAGAAAATATTTCTAAGGAGCAAAATATACCAGAAGTCACATACAGTTTTGAGGTTCAAGGAGAGGATATTCGGTAAGACGAGAGTTCTCATAGGCCTGTGCTACATCAGTAGATTAACATACAGTCTCTTGCAGGTTGGTAATATGGCACAGGTGGTCTTCATCTGGGTAAAATTTTTTAAATTTATTTATTTACTTTATGTATATGAGTGCTCTTTCTACGTGCATGCCAGAAGAGGGCATTGGAATGAAGGATAGACGTATAGATGGCTGGAAACCACTATGTGGTGGCGGGGAATGGAATTCAGGACCTCTGGAACAGTACTCTTAATCTCTGAGCCATCTCTCCAGCCCTCTGGGTAAGGTTATTGATGACTCTTCTTGCCCACTAGCTTACACTGCACCTTTTGTTGCTATGAAGACTATCATCAGGGCGTCTGAGATATTTCCTAGATATTATGGAGGTCTTAGTGGTCTGCTGTATTCTCAACCCTCATCTTGTTTTTATGTAAAACAACCTATGTTTATGGCTTATTTCAAAGATCATCAGATCTGAGCTTTCTCATGGAATATTTATAGTTTTTGAAGTTGAGAATTATACTTCTTCCTTAGTGCTGGTAGCGTGTACACACCTTTAATCCCAGCACTTGGGAGGCAGAGGTAGGCAGATCTTTGTGAGTTCAAGGCCAGAATGGTCTACATTGTGAATTCCAGGACAGCCAAAGCCACAGGGAGAAATCCTATCTCAAAATATCCACCCCCCCACCCCCTACCCCCCAAAGAAAATCCAAAGAATTATATTTCTTTGGAACAAGTTGCTGTCTGACCTGTATTAAACCCCCTTAAATTGAGATTTTTTTTCTCTTTCCTGTTTGGTCTGGATAAGATTGGGTGTGCTGTGCTGAGTGAGTGTGAACAGACTGGACACCCTTGTTCCTGTCCTGAGGAGGTTGGACTACTTCCAGTTTTCCTCATTTAGTAAAATGTGGACTTGAGGTTTGTGGCTTCTAGTGTTTACTATGCATAGGTATGTTTTACCCGTTCCCAGGTTCTTCAAATCTTTGATAATGAGCAAATGTGCACATTTCCCACAGGTGTTTTATGGATTATATTGACATGATCATGATCCTTCTGTTACAATGTAGATAGTCACAGGCTTACATTGAGTGATCTGCACATGTTGAAGCAGTCTTGTATTCTGAAGGGTAATATGGTGGTGCATATAGGTGGTTTCTGTCATCTCCAGAGGAGCTTTTACTGTTTGCAGTAGTTTGCATTCCCGACAGGAATTAGAATAAAAACCCACTTTGACATTTCTTCAAGTGAATTCCTTGGCATTTGATTGTATTTGTTGATTATTATTTTTGAGGGGGTAACACACACACACATACACACACACACACACACACACACACACACACATATATATATATATAATGTTATTGTCAAGATCAGTATGTAGGCAAGGCTAGCAGCAAATTAGAGTTACAGTTAACTCTGTGATTAACTGTATGATCCTCCATTTTTTCTTGTTTTTGTTATTTTATTTTATTCTATTTTTTGTGTACATTTGTTTTGGGAGTATGAATGTCTGTGTGCCTGGTGCCTGTGGAGGTCACAAGAGGGCACTGAATCTCCGGGGAGAGTAATTATGGATTGTCGTGAGTCTATAATTCAGGAAGTCTAGAAAAACAGTACATGCTCTTAACGACCACATCATCTCGACAGCCCCCAATTTGGTTTCTTCTCATTAGCCATTCTGGTGAGATGGAGTCTCAGTTATGCTCAAGTTTGAAATTCCCTGATAACTGAGGAATATGAACACATTAAATGATATTTCCAGGGAGCTATGGAGGTCTTTGACACTTCTGAGAATACGATACAATCCTACTTTGTTTTTTCAACCTGCTCATTCTTGGTGCTTCCTAAACTGGAGATTTGCTTATGATATTTCGTTATGTCCAATATTACTAAAGGATTTCTCAAGTATAAAAGTTTCTGGTGATATCTTCAGATAGATAATATAAACAGTCACACTATTGTTGAAAAGGATGCGTTCAATGTCTTTCCTACTGTATCTCTTTGTTTTTTTGTCACTTTTAAATTTCTGTAGTTGTTCTTTGATAATTATTATTTTGTCTGTATGGGTGTTTGGTCTGCATGTCTGTGTACTACATATATGCAGTGCCCACAGAGGTGGACGCTGTATCCTCTAGAACTATAGTCACAGACAGTTTTATGAGCTAACACGTAGTGTTGTTCTTTTTTTTTTTTTTTTGGTTTTTCGAGACAGGGTTTCTCTGTATAGCCCGGGCTGTCCTGGAACTCACTCTGTAGACCAGGCTGGCCTCGAACTCAGAAATCCGCCTGCCTCTGCCTCCCGAGTGCTGGGATTAAAGGCGTGCGCCACCACCGCCCGGCCGTAGTGTTGTTCTTGAACCCCAGTCCTCTGGAAGAACAAGCACTGCTCCTAAGCACCAAGCCTCACTCTATCCATCCCCTCTAGCTACTTTAAAATTCTACCTTAAGTATGACTGGAGAGAATGTGAACCTTTCCCCTATTATAGAACATTTTCTTCTTCCTGAACTGTAAACCTAGGTTGACACATACACACACCCTCACTTCCCCATTTCCTTTGGCTTTTGGAGACATGGTTCCTCTGTGTAGCCCTGGTGGTCCTGAAACTCACTCTGTAGACTAGATTGGTCTTGAATTCAGATATCTGCCTGCCTCTGCCTCCTGAGTGCTGGGATTAAAGGCATGGATAGCACATACACTGTTGAGGTAAAATTTTGTGCTATTTCAACTTCTACCAGGAATTTTATGATGAAATTTTAAGAATGGTGGCTGAAATTCTGTTCCTCCTGAGATTTCATGACTTAGGAGTTCTAGTCTAGAAGTTTTTGCTAGTATTCTGGATGATGGATTACTGGTGATACTGTTCTATTTCTCGTAAGGGTTAGTGCTTTCTTGTGTTGTACACAATGGGTTGCTTCCCAGTTCTCTTGTATTCAATAATCCCTCATGTAAAATGTAATCCTCCCTTTGTTCTAATGGATAATCCATATCTGATTCTTCTTTGCATATTTTTATTATCTAAAGAGTTTCTTGAATGAAACAAGATCTCCACAGACCACCAAAGACCACCAAGAGTTCAACTCATAAGCAAAAGCAAAGAGTCTTTATTCAAGCTCAAGCTTGGACCTTCTAACCTCCCCAGCACAGTGGATGGTGTGGAAGCTTCTGGGCTGGTAACAGCCTTGTGTTTTATCATGGTAGCAGGGTAAGACACTTTCCAGCTTGGCAGTTCCATGATTGGTTGACATTTGCTTGGCATACTTGTATTAACTAGTAATAATTTCAGCTTGCTATTTACAATGCTTAATCAATCTACATTAGACATTAGGTACTTTCCTCTTAAAAACTTACTGGTTGTTGCTAGGAGTAGAGTGGCTATTTGCCCAGGGGATTGTGATTGTTACCAGCATGACCTGGCTCCTGGAACAAGTTGGGGTTTTTCCAGTAGCTGAGTTCATTCAGAGGGCAAGGTAATCATAAAATGGAGTCTGAAAGCAAAATGGAATTTGTAGTGTTAAACTGTGCCCTCCAACACTATGCTAATTTGTGACCCCTTCAGATGCACTTCCTTCTCTGTCAATTCTAGCAGTCATTTTTCCTGTGTGTAATCTATTGTTGACAGTTATTTTCTCTCGGGGCTTTAAATGCATTATTCCATGCTGACTGAACATTAGAATATGGGTAAATGTTCATATGGATTGTACTTCCAAGCCCGTGTTGGCGTATGAGAAGATACTTGGAAAATGAGTGCCCGTTTCTGTAACAAGTAAATGTGAGCATAGCAAGATAGATCTAGGAGATGTGGCCGCCTCAGAGAGTCTCTCCTAGGGACAGTCTCCTCCTATAAGTCCAGAGACCCGTAGTCCGAATACAAAGCATAACTATCTTGAACTTTATTACTATATAAAGTGCAGTGCTCAATGCTATATAATGCTCATGCTCAGAGAACCAATAGTGAAGCACAGGTATCTGGAAACGCTTACATTCTTGCCCATCCTGTTTACTGCTTAGAACCTATACTAAGGGCTCTTTCAATGGGAGTCCCAGATGTGCAGCCATATGGCTGTTAGACGTGTATGTGTGTTTGAGGAAATACTACTTCCAGGTTTTAATGTAGAAGCCCTGGTCAGAAAACTTCATGGTGGAAGCATGTAAAAACATGAGTTACTCATCACACCAGAGGAAGCCCTCCAACCCATTCTCTGTGTATTAAAAATTAACCTTTTCGGTTGAAGACAAGGGCCAGATTAAGTCATGTGACACATTCCCTTTCTATATTAATTGAAATACAGCATCTGTCATTGGGCAGAAATGTTTTTGCTGATGGAGCTGACAGCACTACTCAGCCTGAATGTCACAGCGAGAGTTATGAAGAGGTATGCCAGGTGAAAACATCCTGATTTTTCTCTTAAAACTTCATACATGGCTGTGTCTACTTTTTAATCACCATCCTATTATTGACTATGAATCCCCTGGGCATAGAATTAGAGTCAAATGACAACAGCACCGTATTCTATTCTGGCTCTCAGTATTCTGTTGTGCATATTTTATTGTTATTGGTAACTTTTAGATCACACAAACTGTAACTTATCCTGGTTTTTCCATTTATATTATCGATATTAGAGTATTTACAGAAGAATAGTTATAGTGTTTGCATTATCTGTTTTTCTTGCTATTGCAGCTATTTCAAAGCACCTAGAATTTAGATTCATCCATGCTTCCCCAAATCTCTGTCTGCCACTTGCATTTCAAGAGAGTGGCCTTTGTAACTAACTATTGCTCCCTAGAGAGCTTGCACTATTACTGTGTCCTCTGTCATAGTCCTGTCACATCCCTGGTTAGCCAGTTTCTTCCTTTTAGTCCCTCTTGTACTTCACATATGTTGAGGGACAGGTTTTGAGCTGTAGCCAGGCTGTTGTCACATGTTCATAACTCCAACTGTGATGTTTTATGGCAGCATGAATTTCCATAAGTCATTCCCCATCTTTTAACCCTTACATTATTTCCCACTTTTCTGTAACGTTTCCTATTTGGATGTGCTAATATTACTTTTCCATCATAGGTTGTGCAGTTTCCCAAAATTAACAGTTTCTTGTTGCAAACAAAGTCTCGCTGACCGGGGCTGACAGCAGCGCTAGACTATGGTGCAAAGAGAACTATTTCAAAGTACTTTGAGTATCTTTTACATATAGTTGTATTTCAGGAGTGGATTTCCTCTTACACCCTGTGACTGTCCCAATCATTGGCTTTTACCAACTTTCCAGTGTCATCTGTGCATTTCTCTCATTGGTTTGTCCTCAGATGGAACCAGACATCCTTTTACTCACTAAATAGTCTTGGCATTATTACACTACTGGACATACTTTGCCTGGAAGTTTGGTATTGCAGCGCACAGAATCATCATATGTGGACAGCCATTGATATGTCACCCAGAAGCCTTCAGATCCCTTTTAGTACTTTAAATGCCACACCAGGGCTTCCAAGACATTTTTAGACACTGTGTGTGGTTTGCTGGCTTTTCAGAATCTTCTGTTGAAATGTACAAAACTAATTGATATTGTCTGTGCAGTTTATAACTTATTAAGACAGTTGTCAGCTCTGAGGTTTCTCATGGAATATTTACAGTTTTTGACTTGCAGAATTATGTTTCTT